AGATATGTTGGCTGTTGACTGGGTTCTTCAGTCACTTCGTGATTCGTATAATGAGTTCATAAGAGAGTACTATACAATGGTTCACGACGTAACCCTCATTGATTTTACCTATTTGCTTATTGCTACTGAATCGGCGATGATTTGGCTCAATGGTCAGGAAACTTGATTGGTTGATCAAACTCCCATACTTCATTGGACACTGGCAACATTGAATGTCCAGAAAGGACTGAGCATGAGATTGTCCAATGTAATTTGCCAAGGGAGTCCATTTGCTTTTGTTGCCAGGAGAAGGGGCATTGGAGTCGAAGCTACCCTGTTTACTTGAGAAATCTAAGAGATGTGAGAGTCAAGACGTATGGCTCTACTTCAGCTAAAATGCATAACTAACTCTATAAGTTTCTATTTTTGATTCTTAATGTATGATGTGATAAGATTACAATTTGATGTTTTGCAGGATCAAAGAATAGAAAGGAAGCTTAAGGAAGAAGCATGCTGAATGTGATCACGAAGAAATGGATTTCGATCGCATGGATTCAAAGATCGGATTTTTGAGCTACTACTTTAGAGTTAGGGTAGATTGCTAAGAAATATTTAATAGCATAGTTTTTTAGTTGAATTGCATTCTAAGCACAAGTTTTTCCGCAATAAAATCAATTTTGAGTTTTATCTTATTTATTTATCCTTACAATGGTGTGTATGAAAAATCGATGTTTGTGTATTTCTATTATTAGCAAAATGGATTTGATTCTTAATTAGGTTATGTGTGGAAGTGTCGAGAATTTACCAAATAGGGAGAGTTTCTCATCGCCCAAATTTCAATTGGACAGAAACTTGGAATCATACAACTTGGTTGTGTGATGAATGAAAAACTTCATATTTGGAAATTAGACTAACTCTTTGACAAAGTGTCAAGTGAGAGACTAGGAAATCGAGTACAATAGGTTGTGCATTGATCAAGTCCACCACAAGAGTGATAAAGATATTCGTCATGATTTACTAATAGTTTAGTGAATATGATTGTACTTATAAGAATAAGTGTAATTCTGAGTTGATTGGAATAGATTCAATGAATAGCTGAACGAATAAGGAGAATCAAGAAGGCAGAAAGATAAAAGTTTCTCTATTCTAAGAAGAAGGGAGAGTACCTTTTATTGTGTTTTATGATAAAGTGTTAATGATTAAGAACCATATCTCAATTGATCCTCTAAGTGAGTATTAGTGCATCTGTATGTTTGAGAAGAGGAATCGAGAATTGTGGAACTGGTTAAATCAAGAAGTCAATCATACTTCGTTCTAATATCAAATCTTAGAGTCATACTCCAGGTTTGCGAATTGAGTGACACGCCTTTAGTAGGTTTATAACATTCAACAAATGTGGAATTTGGAAAAGTTTTCTTATTCTTGCACATATGAAATTGGTAAGTTGTGCTGTCTTGGATAAGACAAAGACCAACTAGGACCAATTATGTGAACTGTTTTGTCTTGATAAGAACTACACTAACTCTTGAATATTTGTTTTGTCTAGGATAGTTTCCTGACAACAGAATCATATATGTCATGAGGTTAGTGGGAGTTTTAATGATTCTTGAAAACGATTTCAAGAACAAATAAAGAATAAACCTTATCGATCATCACTAGCATACGACTTGAGGTTTACAACCTATCGTGTTAACATTATTTTGTTTCTGTGCCATTCAAATTGAGTTAACTATGTATGTGGGTTCTATGAGTTCTCATTTGAATGCAGAAAGACAAAGCTCCTTGATCGATGGAAAGTACATTGATATGTAAGGATAAGTTGCTAAAGTACTTGGAAGACATGGTGGGCACTCGTGTTACCATAAGGCTAGAAATCAAGAAAGTTCAATCCATATGAGTTTCGATTTGTCGCAAACTTGGTTTTGGCAAATTCACATGGATAGGAACACATACACCATAAAATCTAAGTGTCATAAGATTCCCTCCTTCATGAAAATGGCTGTGAGGAAATGCTTTCACTAAGAGAGATTTTAAGAAGATAGCAATTGTGAAAATTGAATTATCAAATTCGATTATGGTTACGACATCCCTTTACATAGTTTGAATTGTGAGATTTGGCAATTAGTCTAACATTTGGGACTTATTTATATAAGTTCTGAATTAGTTAAGACACGCGTATGAGCTATCTAGGGCAAAGGTGTATAAGTTTAAGAAGCTTAGATAAAGGCTTATCGAAGGATCTGGAATTAGTAATATGAACTTAAGAAGTTCAATAGGTATTGTTTTCTGGGAGTTCAACTGTTTTATGAATACATGTCAAAGCTAGTGGGAGCATAAGTGTTATGCTTATATGATAATAATCATCATGATAGTGGGAGCATAAGTGTTATGTTTGTATGATTATTATGGCAAGTATTCCAAGTTAGCAATATTAATTAAAGAAAAACAAATATTTAATTTGCAAAGTTGCATGGGTTGAAAATTTTTTATTTTGCTAAAATTAAGAGAGAGAATATTATACTATGTTTCAAAATCTAAAGCTTAGATTGAGAAATTTTAATAAATTTAGTCAAAGGATACATAGTGTGTTCTTAAATTTCGATTATGATTACGGCATCCCTCTTCATAATTCGAATTATGAGAACGTGACACGTAAAAATATTATGGCAAAAGACTGATAAAGTATTATATCTTTATGTAAGACATTATGCATCGTGTCCTATATGTTGCGGGTATAGGATCGATTGCAAATGCTATAATATTTGACCATTATAAAATTTTCCAAATGTCTAGTGCATTAAGAGGGAAAAAAGACTTGAAATCATTTTTGACTAGAATAATTAAACAATTATCCAAGGACGATCCAAAGTTCGCTGAGGATTGGTCGCTTGTGAGTAGTTGGAAGTATGGTATTGGATGGACCATATCAACATTATTATGAATAGATAAGATTCTATTAAGAATGAGTTGTCATATGGCAAATATGGAAATGTTTCCATATTGGGAGTTGAATATTGAGAGTCTATGTCTAGATTAGAAAATTTTATGCAAGAAGGATGTTTAAAGGAATGTACTTTGAATGTGAGACTTCACGTCTATAGAATTGTCTTGTAACAATTTCCGATAGAGTACTTTGTAATTTCAATGGCCAAGTCTTGGTGACTTTTGTGCTATGATTTTGCGAAAGGATCGTTGCATAAAATATTAGAATCTAGCATATTCTAGTAGTGGTGTAACATACACGTTTTGAAATCGTGTTTTGTAATGAATAAAATTGTGAAATACTATGTGAAATTGAGTGTTGAGTTCTAACAAATGGTTTTTACTAGAAATGAAGTAAAACTATGTTTAGAATTACTCAGAAAATATTGGAAGTTTTATGAGATTCCAATTAAAAGCCAAATAGTAAAATTTAGCAAAAATATAAAATTTTTAAATAAATAAAATTTTATTATTAAAAGTTATAAATAATCTCGTTAGAAACTTGTAGGCGAAAACCTCGTCGAAATCTGAATTATAACGAAGAAGTTATGACCAATCGAAGATCCGCGATAAAACCGACACGGTGTTGAATGACGTAAAAAGTGAGTTTTTTGATAAACTACTTTTTAGCCTTATTGATCTAAATGAAAGTCGTAATATTCGTTAACCCGAGAGGTTTGATAAAAAGAACGCCAAAATCTGACTTCGTATGAGGAAGTTATGATTTTTACAAGTTTCGGATTAGCAGTAGACAACTAAAAACTCGAATTTTAGCTTGAGCGATATTTGGCCGATACATCCTAAACTAGAATCGAAGGTCTCGTCATTTGTAGTACAACAGTAAAAAGTATGACGAAAACGGATGTCGGATGAAGAAGTTATGAATTTTTAACTGATTTTCCTATCCCAGTCTGTTAAAAATAATAATATTAAAAATAAAATCAGAATTAGCCGACAAAGTCTAAATGAAAGTTGTAGAACATAATTTCAGCTACGCGTGCATAGAAAGAACGTCAAAAATGGAGCTCGTATGCGAAAGTTATAGATTTTAGAAGTTCGGGGCTCAATCTCCGAAAAATCTCGCATGAGTGGTCCGGATTCGGCCACGTCCTTCAC